TATTTTTTATTGGTGTTATTCTCATTTCTCAAAACCATATTATATAAAATAGAGATGTAGGTCAGGACTTTTATCACGCCTGCCAGTGGTGGGTGAATTGGTGGTAAATATCTCTTACTGGTCATGAGATGGTATTTTGAATTATTTTTTGCTTATTAAATTTTTTTCTCATGATTCCTTAGCCATTAGTCCATTTTTTGCAGGTCATGTCTTTGTGTCACCAGGAGAAGATTTTGTTACTAATAAATTCATTTTGATAGTTTAATGCAAAGAATGTTCCACTTACACTACCATTCAAATGTTTGGGGTACAGTAAAATAACTATTTTCTATTTGAATATATTTTAAAATGTAATTTATTCCTGTGACGCAAAGCTGAATTTTCAGCATCAAACCTGATATATCTTTCATTGTTCTTTAATTAATCTAAAGTTTAAAATAAACAAATATGATTGATTTGAAATAAAAATATTTTATAACATTAAATATATATTTACTGTCACTTTTGATCAATTTTATAATTTAATTTAATTTAATCTAATGATTTAATTATTTAATTTAATTTAAAGGGGTCAAATGATGTGATTTCAAGTTTTCCTTTCTCTTTGGAGTGTTACAAGCTGTTCGTGCATAGATAAGATCCCTAAAGTTGCAAAGACTAAAGTCTCAAAACCAAAGAGATATTCTTTATAAAAGTTAAGACTTGTCAACGCCCTCCTAAAACGCCTCGTTTAAACACGCCCCCACATGTCTACGTCACTGTGTGGGAAGATTTGCATAACACCGCCCAAATGTTCACGCAAAGAAAGAAGGCGTAACTTTGATTCTCGCTGTAGTATTGTTGTTGTCGTGAAGGCGCTGTGTTTCGTTGTGAAAGCGAAAATACTTTGTTTGGTCTTCCAAAAGAGGACACGACTAGAAATCAGTGGTTAAGTTATATTTACAACACTGTTCCAGAACAGTTCAACCCAAATATTCAGATGTGTGCAGCGCATTTTACGGAGGACGAGGACTGTTTCCTGAGAGATTAGCCTACAATGCCGGTGTTCCGGTGAATTCAGTTCCCCTGTGCATGCTGACCCTATACAGCCTATGATGCTGACAATGCTGACTCACAGCCTGTAAGTACGTTTTCATATTTAAAGGATTTGCCTCTGATGATTCAAACGCGAGTTTTGAGCAGTGTAGAGTAGCGCTTGTTGTTTGTCATTTGTCTGATCACAAATGCAGACATGGTTTTATGTTTACGCAGCGCGATGCAACGCAACGCGTAAAAAGACAGTATAAGTCATTATAATCAGTAATTATGTCCCCACTGGATGCAACGAATGCCTCGTTTATAATGGGTTTTAATGTTTTTGTCTCGTCGCTCTGGCCGGACACAGCATCACAGTATGGTAGGGGCGTAATATTTCAGTCACACGCTTGAGGTATTCGGCCAATCACAACACACTGGATAGCTGGCCAATCAGAGCACACCTCGCTTTTCAGAACGATGAGCTTTGTAAAAATCAACGCGTTTCAGAAAGGCGGGGCATAGAGGAGAAACAATAATGTACAGTATGTGGAAAATAATGTTTTTTTTAACCTTAAAACACATTTCATTACACCAAATACACAAAATAATGTTCTTTTTTAGCAACATCATATGATCCCTTTAATGATAGTGTATATACAGTATATTGAGTTCTAGAGATAAAACCACTGAAAAATAAAAATAAAAATGAATTGTTCTTGGTGAAGTACAAGTTGTTAGAAGGCCTGCAGAAGATTTCTTTAGTAGACCATTTGTATGATAGGTGGGAGGAAGCGCTGTGGATTGTTTATTCAGTTTTGCTTTCTTTTCCCCTTTTCTTTGAACCAATCTAATCTGACTTATTTTGGAGTGTGCTGTGATGTTTGATGTTGTGGTTGTGTTTCCAGTGAGGTTTATTGAGGAGAGTCATTTCTAAAGTGTTGTTTATGACGTAGCCTACATGGGGATTACTGAGAGGACTGTCACGTGAACACCATTCTGTGGAAATAAACATCCTGTTTCAACAAAAAGCTATTTCACTATTATTCTTTCACTGTCCACCCCTTGAATCAGGGATATTACAGTAAATGAAAACCACTGCCATTGAAACAAACAAAAAATTATATATTTTTTAACTGAACCTGAAATAAAACACTGAAAAAAAATTAATAACTTATATTTATTTTATTTCAGCTAATTGCCAAAGAATTTATTTCAATTTGTACTAAAATAATTAAAACTGTAACTGAAATAAAATTATAAAAATATATATATTTAAAAAATGAACTAATAAAAATGACAAAAAAGCATAACAAACTTAATTAAAAATTTTAACTAAACTTAAAACTTAAATAAAAACTAATTCAAAATATCTTTTAAAAAACTATAATGGTAGCTCAGTGATACTAAAATAACACTGCCTTGAAAGGCCATTCATTGATTTTAAGGTATATAAAAAATTATTAAAATATTTATATCACTGACATTTTTAATAAAAAAAAAACTTCTTAATACAGCAACAAGGAACTCAAGGTCATGCTATATTGTGATATTTATTTGCATGTTTATATTGAATATATTCACAATATGGCACATGCTCTAGTACTTTATTGCCTAATGTTTAATTATATGTATTTTTTAAAATTATTATTTTAAAATACATGCAAACTTGCAGTTTAAACATTACTGTTTCATTTTAGTACGAAGTTCTTCACATAAAACAACAGCCCTTAGACATTCATTCTTTTATTATTGTTGTGATATGTAATGTAAAATACCTATTTTTAATAATAAAAGAAACATACAGTAAATATGTAACCAGATAACTGAGATTTAATAGCAATTTCTTCAAAGATTATTTTGTTTCTTTTTCCCAAATGCACACGAAAACATCCCCCACATTTATGGATTTATGGATTCATCACTGTGCAGCCAAAGGACATTTTTATGACCATATTATGACTGTAGACAACCTTTATGTCATGATCCAAACTGTACAGAGATTGCATGCCCTTTTCCCCTCCTCTGGTTCTCTCTAACATATTTCAGATGTTTTGTGCCATTTTTCCATGTTCTTTGATTTTGTTCATGTACTTTTATTCTGAAGTTCTCATCCATGAAACCCTCATGTTTGTGTCTTCTTGACCATTCATGGTTTGTCATGTGACACTTTATAGATTTTCATGTGGATTTTTTTTTTAAATTCAGTAAATCTGCATTTGTTTTCTTAAGCCCTGTGTTACACATGCACATTTTTACTGTTTTTGTTATGGTAGCATATATAGGTCAGAATGACAGGATTGACACAATAAACATACCATAAGAGACCCTTAATGCATAGATTTATTGTCTTTAGACTGTAAAAACGACTATGTTTATGTTAAGAAGTGATCATTAACAGATGCTTTTGTCCAGTATTTATTGCAGGAACAGGCATCTGAAGTTTAATGCTTTACTCAAAGGCATTAGTTCGCGTTTACTGATTAGATGAACCTGCTGCTGTGAATTAATAAATCATAAAGTGCTACAGTTAAAATGCTATGCTTTCCTCATTTGAGCATATTGCTTGATCAAATCTAGAAATCAGGTCTATTAATAACACAGACAAATGCTGTGAAATTAGGTGTTTCAGTGTTAAGTCAGGGGGTTATTGAAGGAATATCCCAGCGCTGATCCCATGTAATATACTTTATGTGCATACTTGTTTTTGTGATCACTGAAACTCTAATTGGTCATTTAGGTGCAATTCTTTTAAACAAGATACTGAACCTGAAAGAAATCAAAGCCAAATGCCTCGCTCAAAGGCGTGTAGTGTTAAAACTGGATTTTGATCTCAATAAACATTCAAGTTTTACGCATTTATTACTAAGCATGGCTGCCAAACAGAAAATGGAATTTTAAATAGAATCTCCTTAAATAGAATCCTATTTAAATCCTTAACTATGTAAATATCATCTAAATGAGGGGCTTTGGCTCTCTGAGTACCTTTCCATTCATTTATTAGGAAAATCAGTTTGTTTGTTTTTTGACTAAATTAATTATCCAAACAAAATATTTTCCATATGGCAAAAATAAATATGAATTTTACTTCCAGAGCTGGACTGCTGAGCTCAGTGCCACAGTTTATTATGATAGTTTAGTCTTACCTAAAAGTGTTTTTTTCTAAACCCCGTGTAAACAGAATCCTGGACGATTACTTGGGGTTAAGCGCAGTGTAAAAATGCATTTTCCTTGTCAGTTAGATTGACTGATGGCATTTTTATGAAGCAATCATTCACCTTTAATTATATAACATTATTAATTATGTAATATACCACATGATCCATTTTTTTTCACGTGTCACAATATTATGGCCAATTTATACAGCAATAAACACAATAAATATAGGATAATCTTACCTCAAACTAAAGTATATCTTGGTCAATTACACTAATTATTCTTTCCATTTTGGATAATCTGATTGTGTGCAACCTGAAACCAAAGGAACGTGCATGTTGTCGACTCATGTGACATGATCATTCTGTTTAGCACATTTTTGACTGTTCTGTATTGAAAAACTTTATGAGATTTTACTACCGCGGCCCTGTGGCATACTTTGCTTTGTCATTGTTAGGTAATAGAGAAACTAGCAAAATCGTTCAGTCAAGAACTAGAAGTACTGGCTCATGGCTATACATAGACATTTATTGAACAAAACTGAAGTTGAACATCTGATATATATCAAATATACAGTTTCCATATAATATCACTCTTGTAAGTAAGGTGAAAATAATCAACTAATAATTTGTCTTTTTGAGACTCCACTATTGGATTATACATTTCAAGTAAACTACTGTTCTGCAGACAGCAAAATATATAGCATTTCCTATCATTGGTTATCACACATATATATAAAAATAAATAGAAATCATTTAAGTAAACATTTTTGTAAAAGAAAACTCGTATTTTATACACACATAACATGTACATGATTTCATACTGGGATTTCATGATGGCTCATTTAATGATTGGTCAAAGAAGGCTCTGTTAGAGTAGGCCATGAGAGGCAGACGTTCCCCAAGCACGGCGTCTCTGAAATTGCGTCGTCTCCATGCGTACACAATACTGTTCAGAAAACCCTGGAGTGACACTGACAGCGCCTGTACAACAGCACATGGAAGAAAATATTCCACATATTAAAACATCTATAAAATAGCATCTATTTCTATGAATCTCAAACAATATTATAGAAACAGTTCAGTAAACAAGACGTTTACATTGAGTAACTTAGGCCTACTGTATATTTTAGACACAATATTGCTATTTAATTGGTCTGTTTCTTGTTGTGTCATGAATGAATCAGAGTTTGTAAGCAATGCGGTTAAGTTAATGAATCAATGAGTCGCTCATACAGTCAGTTACTTTTTTCATTCCAGAATGAATCAACGTTTTTGGACAAATCAGTTAAGTGAATGATTCAATGAGTCACTCATACAGTCAGTCTCTTGTTTCATTCCTGAACGAATCCATGTTTTTTTTTAAACAAATAGCTCAATTTTGAGCAAAAAGGTGAGAATATTTGATACATTTTTATCAAAAACTACATCTGGATAATATTCAGTACGATTATCAAAGCATAAATCCAGTAAATCGCTTCCATCAATTTATATGCTGTCTATTGCTGATGATCGCATTATTTTTTATATGCATCTGTTTACATAAGAGATCGCTCATTTCTCCGTCCTGTTCACGTGTGTTTTTGTTCGGGAGGTTTTGTACTCGTTCAGAAGAAGCGTAATAGCGCCCCCGAGTGTATAACAGTGAAAACACAGAAAGCCGTAAAAACTCGTCTTTGGCGTGGAAGCGTTTTCTTGTAAAGGACAAGATAACTCGCCAATGGTGGGGAAAGAGTTAATATTTTTACATTATCTTTACGTAGAAAACAGTAAGAGTTATTAGTACGTGGTTACGAATTCAGCATGACACTTTTGTTCCTGAAAGAAATGGCTGTTTTTTTGAATGAATCGGTTGAGTGAACAATTCAATCACTTATTCATAAAGAAAGTCACTTGTTTCGATCCTTTACTAATCAGCGTTTTTGAACAAATCGATTGAGTGAACAAGTCAATGACTTACTTATACAAAAAGTCACTCATTTAGATCCTGAATGAATCAGTGTTTTTGAACGAATTGGTTGAGTGGACGATTCAATGACTCATTGATAAAGACAGCCACTTGTCTCCGCCTACTGATGTAATGATGTACTATAATTGTAATTGTTTTAAGTGATCTTAGTTTGTTTTTGTTGAGTTAATTTGTGATTAAACTGATTGTATTGCTGCCCATTTTGGCCCGTGACAAATCTCCTGTGAAAGAGATTTTTAATCTCAGAGCGTCTATCCTGGTTAAATAAAGGTTAAATAAATAAAAATAAACTATGCTGAAAGAGTCAATTGAAAATCCCCAGTACTAATGCAAAGATGCATTACTAATGCATAATCTTTCATAAATAGTGTATGTTTTATTACTTAACATAATATGTTCTGCTTTAGACAACATGCTTTACCTGAGTGACATAGAGAGGGAAGAGATGTTTTATCTTAAGTTGTGTGAAAGACAGACATATGAGAAGCAGCGCTGAAAAAAGAAAACATAATTTAGTTTAATAAAAATAATTACAACCTTTCAGTTAAACACATATAGACATACTGTATACAGGGAGCATTTGAGAACACGTGTGTGTTATTGTACTGACCTGGTGCCCAGCAGAATATGACAACAAGGATCATGTATCGAGCTGAGGACCAAATCCCACCTGGATGTCTCTGTGTCATTGTGATCATGCTTGTGTTCTCATAATGCCTATAAGAGCTCTCTAACTTACAGTAGACCACCTACAGGATGACAGATGCATATTACAGGAGATTATTTACATAAAACACCTACAGTGCCCAAACGTATTTGGACACTTAAACATTTCTGAAAGTCATTCCATTAAATAATAGAATATCAAACCGTGTGGCATTTATTTTAAAGACACTTTTCAAGTAAAACATGACATGCGGCCACTATGGATTTTTATGGTGAGTCACATTAACGAAATATTTGTCAAATGATGTGATTTGTGATCAGTATTATTCATAAACGTGTGTGTACTCACTGTGCAGATGATGATGACGATCAACACACTGCTCAATGTGAAAATTTGAATGAACTCAGCATGACCTGGATCCTGTTGGACAAAAGACAGCGTGATGGGAACAGATTCAGAGGTGATTTAGCTGAACTTGTTTGATGGTGTCTGTAAATTTCTTACCACTGTTATGCAGGAATCATTTGTGGGATGCAGGAAGAGAATGCAGCTGCAAGAGGAATCAGACATGAATTAAGTAAAATGACAGACATGTACGTACAGATGCTCACATGCTGTACACACACTCATTCTCACCTGTTGCAGAACCTGGCAGTGGGTCCGCTGCTGACGGTTGTCAGTGTTGGTATCTCTGCTGGCGTAATAGTAGCTTCCATATAACTGACGGTACGAATATAGATGAAGTATCCAATTATTGGTACAAGCCTAAAGCAATGATATGTACACATACAGATCATTACATTAACACTGCAATGAAATTTAAAGCATTACTTTATCATATTTACAGTTTTACATAAATCATATTTAAATGCATTTATGAAAGCTAACTGGAACTACTCACCATGCAATAACATATGTCAGACAAAACCTCCTCCTTCTGCGTGATAACTGTGTTAACTGAATGAATGCATAAAAAATTAGTTCAATGGAATGTATGTGTGTGTGTGTATATATATATATATATATATATATATATGAAGAGTTCAGATGCAAAAGCCTCTAAGTGCCATATTAAATTTTCATCTAAAATGACCATTTTTATAAAGCTCTTATATTTATGTTCAGTTCTTTCACTTTAATGGCATAGAAAAGGACCTATACATTGCCATTAATGTAAAATTACCTGATAAAAATGCTAATTGTAGAAGAAAATTTCAGACGAAAATTAGAGGCTTTTGCATCTGAACTCTTCACACACACACACATATATATATATATATATATATATATGTATGTGTGTGTGTGTGTGTGTGTGTATAAAATGAATCAATAACAATCATTTTAATTAATAGACAACAATCATAAAACAAATGTCTAAAGCATTTACTGTAAAAAAATTTTGTTAGGTAACTTTAAAAATCTGGTATCATCTCAATCAGTGTTCTTTAGTCAATCATTTTTAGGTTTTTGTGTTTATATTTTGAATTAAAGTAATATTTTCTATTTTCGCTTTCATTTTAGTTTTATTCTTTTTTATATATATATTCTTTTGTATATGTCTTTATTTAATATTTTATATGGTTTTAATTTTGTATTTATAATTTTTTACTTTATTTAGTTCGTTATTTTAGAACTTCAAATAAAACTAAACAAAAATGACAAATGTTGCCTTGGAAACTTGCTTTTTAAATATTTATTTTACTTCAGTTAATGTAAATTTATTTCAAGCAACAACATTTTTTATTGCTTTAGTTTTAGTTAACAATAATTACGCTGATCTAAATGAACAGGTTTTGAGTATTATTATAAATATTTAATAAGACTGAACTACATTAGGTTACAACAACAAAAATTATTTTAGTGAGCTCAAGGATTAGATCAGTTAGAAACAACTCCCTAGGGCAGGGTTCCTCAAATCTTGCCCTGGAGGGCCAATACGCTACAGAGTTTAGCTCCAACCCTGATCAAACTCACCTACCTGTGATTTTCTAATGATCCTGAAGACATTGATTAGCATGCTCAGGTGTGTTTGATTAGGGTTACAGCTAAACTCTGCAGGAAAGTGGATCTCGTGGGCCAGATTTGAGGATCCCTGCCCTAGGGTATTTCTGAGAAATGTACTGCACAGGGATATTTGTATGTGACATAAAGAAAATGTGGGAGGAATGTGGTGCAGCCTGACTGGTTTCAAACTGCTGCGTCAGCAAACATTCATACCTGTGGTCATGTTAGGTAATAGTGACATTGATTTGATTTATAAAACAGTGACGGAGAGTGAATGTTTATGAGCAGAAACCCTGCTCACCTGGGTTTCAAAAGCTTCCTGCACTGGTTTTTCCCTCCATCCTTGAAACGCATGTGCTGACTCACAGGCATAAATGATGACAAGCAGAAACGAGACGCAGTAGAAGGCCTGAGGAGAGACAGAGAGTTCATCACAGCTGCTGCACAGATCCACAGTGAAGTGTTTGGACACACATGACTGATTTTGCTTGATTTAAACAAAAAATGTTTGATATTTCATTTCAAAGGCTTATGCTGCATTGCTTCAAATTAGTTTTGACATATGAAATGTGCATGTATTTCTGTAGAATATATATATATATATATTTTCAAATAAATGCTGTTGAACTTTATATTCATCAAAGAATCCTGAACAAATGTATCATGGTTTTGACAAAAAAAATTATGAAGAAGCACCGTTTTTTCAACACTGATAATAATAAGAAATGTTTCTTGAGCAGCAAATCAGCATATTAGAATGATTTCTGAAGGATCATGTGTTACTGAAGACTGGAGTAATGATGCTGAAAATTCAGCTTTACATCACAGGAATAAATTACATTTACAAAATAGAAAACATTTATTTTAAATTGCAATAATATTTCACAATATTACTGTTTTACTGTATTTTTAATCAAATAAATGCTGCCTTGGTGCGTATAAGAGACTTAAAAAAATATTCCAAACTTTTGACTATAGTAGTGTATATAAAAATGTCACTTTTTACTGTATTTGAAATGGTTTTAATAAACAGTTTCTTTACTGTGGTGACCTCCCAGTATGGGTATCCTCCTGTAAATAATAAACTCATGTTTTTACTGTACCACTGTGTCAGCTCAGTGTCATGATGAGGTGTTTACAGGGCAGTGCATGACTGCATACATGAGGCTCATTCTATTGTTTTATGGCAACACACAATAATGCAGAAAATCTGCAAAGCACTGAATAAACATCTAGTGTGTAACTCTACACCAACATCTCACTGTTACAGAGATGTTCATTTCTTAGCCGCTCAAGGAAGTCGTTACATAACAAGGCCATTATTCAACAAATTCACTGTACAGGGCTTAGTGTTGTACACAGTAGAGATATTTATTTTTCTGCACTGAATGTGCGCATGTAGTGTTAGTATCCCCAGCAGCGGTTGAAGATGTTAACAATTACTTTCAGACTTTTATTGCAGGTTATCCTAAATCGTGTTGATTAGATAACAGCTATAAATGATTCCATGTTTCTGTGTCAGCAGTTTCTCACCAAAGACAAAGGCAATCCAAGGTTGCACATCTTTTCACTGAACGGCCAAATTTCATTGGGTAAATTAATTATGGCGGTGATCATCAACACAAGTGATGCCAGGAAATCTGCCAGCGCCAGCTGAAGAAGAGGCTTTGCCTGTAACACAAGAACAATGATAGAGAAACATTAAAACATGAAGAACATGCTGCAAATTTGCAAGTGAAGAGGCCCGGTTTAACTGTCGAAGAAATATTTTTACAAATGTTTTGGTGAACTTTGCAAAGGAGTTATCTACTGCGTGTGATGCTGTATGCAGTGATGTAATCAGAGGACTTGGTTTTCATTCTCAGCCTGTGTCTGAGTGCTCTGGCACACTGTTAGCCAATGTTGACCATCACTGTTGACTTTTGCAGCAATAGTGGGGAATGTAGATCTATCAAATTCTGCCTCATTTCAGTCGATTTGTCCACTCAAAAATTCAGATTATCTGCTGGAAATATTTAAGTAGGCATTTTATGTGTCTATTTAGTGGCTGCATTGTAATAAAAAAAAGCCCGGAAAATGTACTGGTAATTGTCAGCCAGGACATGATCCAGTAATTGTATGGACATTTCTATTAACCCTTAAACACAATGCAATGAAGTGCAAAATTCAAAATACAGGCAAAGCACCTGTATAAAATAGCATATTAATACCACACGTTGCGCCCTGTTTTTTTACAGCATGGTGGCTTAATCAGATTTGGTCCTCAAGTTAAAATTTCACCATTGCATACAGATCAGGGTTATTTTAGTTAACCAAAACTGAAACCATTAAAAAATTCCCTTTCCTTAAAATACAATAAACATTAACTAAAATAAATGTAAAAAGTTTTATTTCAGCTAGTAACTTGTGAAACAGATACACCGATGCCAAGCACAACAGCAACAGGACGTTTCTTTCTCTTCTGTGGGACTCACCTGTTCATTGAGATGCCTTCTCTTTATGATGGAAACCACCACGACAGAGCAACTACCTATCAGACTGCAACAGAAAGAAAAAGTGGTTACAATAATAAACCTAGATTCCAAGCAGCTAAGACTGAGTGCAGCAAATGTAATGAAGTCAAACACAACAAGCACACATGTGATACAAGTTAAGAATTCTACTTTTAAGATTTGAAAAGCCACAACATGACACACATGACACACGGCATTGCCATAAACAACATAAAATGCCACTTAAAACACTCTAATTTGAAATATAGTAACACAAATAAAGTAACATCTAAACATATAAATGTTAATGTGATGGTTTGGGCAGGGATTTCTGGCAATGTCTTTTCCTGTTAAACAATATTTAACATAATGTAAAATGTTTACAGTAAATACAAATTGCATACATACTGACTCATTGATTCAGTAAATTCTAAAAGCAATTCATATTTTTACTTCAAAAACATGTCAGTGTTTTATAATAAAATGTCAAAATTAAATTATAATATCATTTTTTTTATCTGTAAACGATAAGATTAATTACCCATTAATTATCCCATCAAATGGTAATATTGTAATATTTTTACATTTCAAATTACTAACATTTTTACAGCTCACTTTTATGGGCCCTGCAGGGGACTGTGCTTAAATAATGGGACAGATTGGGTTGCCCCATGTGTCTTCCTATTATGTCACATGTAAATTCCCCAAATCCTTACTTCACTTTTCAGAAGTCACACTGCGAGTTACTGCCTCTCAAATCAAATGCATAACTTCAGCTGCAAGTAATGGTTTCTCTTTGCGTGTTCTATTAAAGCAACAGATCGCAAGCGCTTATCCTAAACCAATGCTGGAATCACATGTCAGTCGAATAAACGTTAAGCATTTCTCACCTTAAACTCAAAGTCGAGACGTAGATCCAAGACAACACAGTAATCTGTGTAAGCAATCAAGACGAAAATAAAGAACATTAATATGTTTAATATAGATAATAATCAAAATTACGCCATTTGGCAGTCATCAAATATCTGCAGTGCAGCGGCAAATAATGACACTGTTTTCCCACATTAAATTGTACTCGCCTCGACTTCAGGTAAATTATAAATTGTGAAGTGATTAATTACCTTTTCTTCATCATCTGATAATGCACCGCTTGAATTCATGATGAAGAGATGTATGCCGTGAGCTACATGCCAGCTCGTTGTTGTTTGTGTGTCCTGTCATGTACAGCAGCTGTCTGTCTGACTGACTCCCGCCGTCTCACCTGGACGTTGAACCTCTGATCACGTGACGCGCTCACCTGTACACCGGCGCAGCTGCGCTCCTCGCATTGCTTTCATAACCATGCATTTGCGGCTAAAACTACATGTGTTTTACGTTACAGAGCTTGTTCCACAGGTAGGTGTTGTGTGGTGTGTGTCACCATGGAGATACAACATGAAAGTCAACCTCCTTAGTAACGCTTTATAATAAAAAATGATCAGATCAGGCTAACAAATTATATAATTCTTAAATAAACATTTAAACCTTTAAATGCTTTAAATGTCAAGAAACGACTAAAAACACATCTGTTCCACCTTTATTTGACCCTCTAACTCTAGCACTTTCTATTCTATTTAATTCTACTTTATCTATATTTATCTTCTTTGTGTGTGTGTGTGTGTGTATGTGTGTGTGTGTGTGTATGTGTGTGTGTGTGTGTGTATGTGTGTGTGTGTATAATATATGTATGTATGTGTATGTGTGTGTATATATATGTGTATATGTGTGTATATATATGTGTATATATGTGTGTATGTATAAGTGTATATGTGTATGTATATATATATACAGGTGCATCTCAATAAATTATAATGTCATGGAAAAGTTCATTTATTTCAGTATTTACTGGTTTGTGAAACTCGTGTATTAAATAAATTCAATGCACACAGACTGAAGTAGTTTAAGTCTTTGGTTCTTTTAATTGTGATGATTTTGGCTCACATTTAACAAAAACCCACCAATTCACTATCTCAACAAATATAAATGAACTTTTCCATGACATTCTAATTTATTGAGATGCACCTATATATATATATATATATATATGTGTTTGTTTGTATATATATATATATGTGTGTGTGTGTATATATATATACACAGTATATATATGTGTGTATGTATACAGTATATATGTATGTGTATATTGTAAGTCGCTTTGGATAAAAGCGTCTGCTAAATGACTAAATAAATGCTATCTGTTTATCTATCTATCGATGTCAAATTTACTGCACGCACCACGGCCATTACAGTTTTTCTCAATTGCTTTGGCACATTTTTCGAAACGGTCTTAACATTCTCTAAACTGTGAGTGCAAATGTCACAACTGTTTGCTGGAACTTCAGAACTTTATTGCATGTCTGCAAAACGTAGTTACTCACCCAAAACATTTCATTCATGCTTCAAAACCTAGTTATCGTGTCAGTAATTTGGCCAAGGCCACCAAAATATAAAGTATTTTTGTCATCGTGTGAGCCACACTGGTCAAAATGTTTAGTTGTTTTTTCACCATGACAGTCAACCATGGAAATTAAGGTTTTGTAAAAAAAAAAAAAAAACTGATATTTGAGAAGAGTCAATAGTACATAGAAAAAGAAAAAAAAGTATATGAACATTTGTATTTATACAATACATTTATTTTTGTACGAATGTATTACATGTCAAGTGAAATCTTGCTTGTCCAATTACTGTACAGTTCATATTTCTTATGTTACCACAAATACACCAAATAACATCCATGAAAAAATTCTTGGTGGACATCCTGTCGCTCTTGTTGGTCAGGCCAAAGATTTTCATCAACATCACATCTGATGTTTTCCATTGCCATGCACCGGGGAAAAAAAAATCTCCTTGAATGCCGCACCCATCCTCTGCAATGATCAGCTGTGATGTCCTCACATGCAGCATTCATGGCATCCAACAGAGACATCTGATCTTGTGGTCTATGATCATATACTTTCCACCTCCATGCTGAAAAAAACTCTTCTATTGGATTTAGGAATGGAGAGTATGGTGGAAGGAACTCCACTGTTATCCTTTCATGTGCAGCAAACCAGTCCCTAACAATGTTGGTTAGGTGGAAGCTGACATTATCCCAGACAACAACATAATTAGGCAAATGTGGTCTAACTAAACCTTTTTCTTGTTCTGGAATCAGGTCTCTGTAAAGTGTGTTTAGGAAGGCCAGGAGAAGTTGGGTATTATAGGGCCCAATGTGTGGACTATGTGTGCTCACATCATTCTCTGAAATGGCAGCACACATTGTAATATTGGCCCCACATTGGCCTGGTGTGTCAGTTGTGGCTCGGTGTCCAATGAGATTGCGACCACGTCTCCAGCCTTTGGACAGATTGAACCCGGCCTCGTCCACAAAAACAAGAATGTGGGTTGTTTCATGTCCTTCTAACTCCATGATTCTCTACTCCACCATGTTGCAAATTTCTTGTTCTTGCTGATGGTTAAATACTGCTGCTCTGCCACCAGTGTGAGGTTGTTGTGCGGTTCTATAGAATGTACAAATATACTTGCATTTACCTTTACAATATTGTTGTTTATAAAAATGCTTTACATACTGTAAAACAAAAAAAAAAG